AGACATGACTGATTCTGTATATGTCCTATAGGATATAGACATGACTGATTATGTATAGGTCCTATAGGATATAGACATGATTGATTCTGTATAGGTCCTGTAAGATATAGACCTGACAGATTCTGTATAGGTCATGTAGGATATAGTATGTCTAATTCTGTATAGGTCCTGTAGGATATAGATATGACTGATTCTGTATTGGTCCTGTAGGATATAGACATAACTGATTCTGTATAGGTCCTGTAGGATATAGACATAACTGATTCTGTATAGGTCCTGTAGGATATAGACACGACTGATTCTGTATAGGTCCTGTAGGATATAGACATGACTGATTCTGTATAGGTCCTGTAGGATATAGATATGACTGATTCTGTATAGGTCCTGTAGGATATAGACACGACTGATTCTGTATAGGTCCTGTAGGATATAGACACGACTGATTCTGTATAGGTCCTGTAGGATATAGACACGACTGATTCTGTATAGGTCCTGTAGGATATAGACATAACTGATTCTGTATAGGTCCTGTAGGATATAGACATAACTGATTCTGTATAGGTCCTGTAGGATATAGATATGACTGATTCTGTATAGGTCCTGTAGGATATAGATATGACTGATTCTGTATAGGTCCTGTAGGATATAGACACGACTGATTCTGTATAGGTCCTGTAGGATATAGTATGACTAATTCTGTATAGGTCCTGTAGGATATAGAGACGACTGATTCTGTATAGGTCCTGTAGGATATAGACACGACTGATTCTGTATAGGTCCTGTAGGATATAGACATAACTGATTCTGTATAGGTCCTGTAGGATATAGACACGACTGATTCTGTATAGGTCCTGTAGGATATAGATATGACTGATTCTGTATAGGTCCTGTAGGATATAGACACGACTGATTCTGTATAGGTCCTGTAGGATATAGATACGACTGATTCTGTATAGGTCCTGTAGGATATAGACACGACTGATTCTGTATAGGTCCTGTAGGATATAGACATAACTGATTCTGTATTGGTCCTGTAGGATATAGACATAACTGATTCTGTATAGGTCCTGTAGGATATAGACATAACTGATTCTGTATAGGTCCTGTAGGATATAGATATGACTGATTCTGTATAGGTCCTGTAGGATATAGACACGACTGATTCTGTATAGATCCTGTAGGATATAGTATGACTAATTCTGTATAGGTCCTGTAGGATATAGACACGACTGATTCTGTATAGGTCCTGTAGGATATAGACATAACTGATTCTGTATAGGTCCTGTAGGATATAGACATAACTGATTCTGTATAGGTCCTATAGGATATAGACATGATTGATTCTGTATAGGTCCTGTAGGATATAGACACGACTGATTCTGTATAGGTCCTGTAGGATATAGTATGACTAATTCTGTATAGGTCCTGTAGGATATAGACACGACTGATTCTGTATAGGTCCTGTAGGATATAGACATAACTGATTCTGTATAGGTCCTGTAGGATATAGATATGACTAATTCTGTATAGGTTATGTAGGATATAGACATGACTAATTCTGTATAGGTCCTGTAGGATATAGACATGACTGATTATGTATAGGTCCTATAGGATATAGACATGATTGATTCTGTATAGGTCCTGTAAGATATAGACCTGACAGATTCTGTATAGGTCATGTAGGATATAGTATGTCTAATTCTGTATAGGTCCTGTAGGATATAGATATGACTGATTCTGTATTGGTCCTGTAGGATATAGACATAACTGATTCTGTATAGGTCCTGTAGGATATAGACATAACTGATTCTGTATAGGTCCTGTAGGATATAGACATAACTGATTCTGTATAGGTCCTGTAGGATATAGATATGACTGATTCTGTATTGGTCCTGTAGGATATAGACATAACTGATTCTGTATAGGTCCTGTAGGATGTAGACATAACTGATTCTGTATAGGTCCTGTAGGATATAGACATGACTAATTCTGTATAGGTCCTGTAGGATATAGACATGACTAATTCTGTATTGGTCCTGTAGGATATAGACATAACTGATTCTGTATAGGTCCTGTAGGATATAGACTTGACTGATGTAACACCAACATTTCTTTCTTCATTGCCATAATATCTGCAATGGAAGATAACTGCATGTGTAAAATATCAGGAAGAGATTTGTGCATTTCTTAGCCATATAGCTACTTTTCTTTCAATCAAATCATTGATAATGCTTGGAGCATACTCTTTCATTGTACAACTCATGTTTGCCTACAGATTATTTAATAAGAATGTAACATTCTATATTTTCATTTCTTTCAAATGTCATTTTTAATATGCATTTACAAGTTGTACACTGGCTTATAATAAACTTTGTTGTTACTATTTGTTCTCTAGTTATCAGGAAAGAGTTGTTCCTACAGTTTTGTTTTATCAAGATTTCTAATTTACTTGTGGCTTCTTCTACTTAAGCATTGTTAAGGCATGGGTAATGCATTTGTCATGATCATGTACGAATTAAAGAATTGCACATGATTTGATTTCTATAAAAGTTTGCTGGAATATATAAAACAAAGTTTGAACTCATTTCCCCTGGTACAAAACTTGAACTTTGAGACTTTCCCTTGTATTTTAGCTGCTCTCTACCACTTTGGCACAAATTTGCAAACAGAAAACAGTGCACGACACCTATTATAATATAAACAGTCAATGATAATTCCAATCACTGCAGTTGTTTAGTGCAAAATCTTTCTCATCAGATGAGACATGTTTTTTATTTTAGTTTTATCTTTTACTTTCTTTTTTATTATTTTTTAATATACATGTAGCTGTTTATTTTGAAATAGGGTTAGTGATGGCACAAATAATGTTGATGCAACCCTGACAGTCAACATAGAGGATGAGAACGATGAGACGCCAGTTATCAGTGGATCATTGTCAGTCACAATCAGCGAGACAGACACCATTGGGACAGCTGTAACAGGGCTGTATGCTGTCACAGATGCAGATGCTGGTGATATACTGCACTACACACTGTCTGGTGAGTGTAATTCAGAAAATTAAAACCTTTCTACCACAGGGTCTAAGATAAAGTGTCCCAATTTTTATGGCATTATTAGGAACTGAGAGTACACACATGACTAACTCTTTAGATGTCTGCCAGTCCATTGCAGGTTAACCCCCATCAGAGTGAATAATAAAACTTAAATGAGAGCAAGACCCAGAATGGAAAATTCTCTGATGCAGCTTTTTGTAGGTTAACAGTGTATTCAAACATGGATACATTAGCTCATAGGTTTTATTGCAAAAATGTTTGTGTCTAATGAATAAATGATGGTATAGCACAGATGATAAAGTTAAAGTAACAAATATTCCAAAGCAAATGAGATTTTCATTTTTTAGAACTTACCTACCTAAATTTTACTTTTATCCCATTAAAGTGTTGTGTCCATCAAATTTGAAGAGAGGTACTTGTCCTCTGGAGTTCTATGTACAACACTGTATTACATGATGTTATAATTTAGGAAAATAAAGAATATGATGTAAATACATGTACTTATTTAATGTTTCATTTACAGAACATTTTTGTACTTTATGATGATAACATGCATGTTTGAACCTTATTTATGTTGCTTGCAAAAGGGATCATTGTTAAACAATTAGATTTGACCTTGTGACAGTAAAATAGGTCACAAGACTAGATGTGATACCAGTTTTTTAATGCCAATTACGCTGTCTCAATCTATACAATTTTTGTACAAAGTTTTGGTTCCACAAACATATTTATCATAAAAAATTTGCAAATTTGCTTTCCTATTAAAATGATATGTTTTGTTTTAGCTGTAGTTATTAATACAATTGAAAATATAAGATAATGTTTTCCAAATTACATGATTATGTTTACATAGCAGAGTTCATAGCAATTTTTTTAAAGAATTTTTATCCCGTATTATAGGTGACTATGTTTCATGCTTACTATTTTATTTCCTGATGGCAAGGATTTTTCAAGGGCAATGCAGGCATTGGGCATGGACAAAATTATTTTGGCAAAAACGGACTAATTGGAAGAAAATATGAAAGAAAAAAAATTGTTAAAATTGGGATTTCTGCTTGCATGTATATGAATATTGCTTAAATGGTACATGTATATTAAAACAAAAAATTAACAAAACCCCCACCCAAAATTCTCTATGCCATTTTTAATGTCATTTCATTACTTCCATTAATATAAATTTAACAATATTCTTTAAAGATGACTGCTGCCTGAGAGTACTACTAGAGTGCTATATGTCCTTGACCTACATGTGCTTTCCTTATTTTCTATTTATAGCAACTATTTTGGACACATTTCCCCAAAAAAACCAGACAAGTTTCTTCAGTTTTAAATATTTCCTTACATATTCATTACCTTGAGAAGATAGTTAATTAGCATTCCAGTCTATGCTTTTAAAGAAGATGGTGCCAAATATTAAAAGAAACAGGATTAATGGTGTGGCTTGTGGATTTTATGACCAAAAATGTTAGAACAGATGTATTTGTTCAAACTTCAAGACATGTCAGATTAAAAATTGACAAAACAACGCTTTACAAATTTTAAAAGATATGAGAGTAATGTAATAGAGCAGCTGTGCTGTGCCCATGTCATGCGTATTTCAGATTTAATTAAGTTCATGATCATTCAGTGAATTTAGTTACTTTAAATAAAGTGAGTGCTGAATATAAATAATTTTTCAGTATATTTTGTGTTTGTATTCTTGTTTTAACCTACATGAATTTATCCCTTTGTGGCAAGAATTTTGAGCAGCAGCAGAACAAGGTTGGTAGTAAAAATATTGAGCAGCAGCAGAAAGAACCAGGTTGGTAGTAAAAAATATATGTACATTTTTAATAGTCGACCATAAATATGGCATATAATATACAGATTACACGTTTTTGACACTTATACCTCTTATGGGGTTGATTGTATGCTACTTTAATAGATCTATTAACATATATGTACTCTGGCTGCTTTGGTAGCCTAATTGGTTAGAGCACCTGCCTTGGATGCAGTAGGTTGCTGGTTCGAACACTGGCTGAGTTATACCAAAGATTTATATAAATGATACTGGCAGCTGCCTCACTTGGTGCTCAGCATTAAGAAGTTAGTGTTCGGACTGATCTGCCTTGTGTAAGAATAATATGACTGGGTGGGACGTGATGCTACACGTCTGTGGCATGATGACCCAGTGCTAGACATCACTATAAACTGCCACACTGCAGACATTGTACTGATATGACTGAAAAATTGCTAAAGCTATGCTGAAAATCTAAATCACACACACACACATGCACTCACACCCACACTCACCAACACACACAACCACACACACCAACACACAAACACACACACACACACACACACTATACCTATTTGTGTAGATCTATCATTTATCCAGGATAAGCAAAATGACCTTGCATTATGCAAATGTTTGACAAATAATTCTACGTGATAGACAAAAATAAAAAATTGGGGGTTTTGTAATCAGCATATTATATGAATCTGCTTTATAAATCTCAACAACAACAGCTACAACAAAAGTGGCCCCTAGTGACCGAGTGGTCTAAAGCACTCTTAGTTAGGATCGCTGTTTCTCACCTCTGTCTGCGTGGGTTCGAGTCCAGGATTCGGTGAATGTGGATATGGGAGAAAGCTTGCCAGTAGCTTCTATTGGGTTGGTGATTCTTTCTTGTGATTTCCAGGTTTCTTCCTCCACCATTATTACTGGCCTCCATGTATAGCCTATCGTGTGCTGAAAAATGGTGTAAAGCCCCAGAACAACAACAAAGCTACAAACTTTACATTTCCTTTAAGCTATTTCACACACAGAATCAAACAGTAAAAAACATCCCATGATAAAAATATTTACATGATAACAATTAGGTTTCAGAGTCCAATATTTGATATTTTTGACATAAGAAGAAAAGATAGTAAAGAACATAGTTTTAAAACAAATATTTATGATTTTTGCATACTATAGTTATTATATTATTCAGCAAAAATTTTGTAAATGCATACAAACAAGTGAAAAAATTTAAAATTGTAATTCTCTTATTTCCAGGTACTCATGCAAATTATTTCCAGATTGATTCTGGAACAGGGGCAATAACTACAGCCAAGACTTTGGACTATGAAGGGGGGACAACTGCATTTAACCTTCTGACTTTGACAGTGAGAGATTCTGTTGGAAAATCTGCTACTGCTTCCCTCGCCATCACCCTGACAGATGTCAATGACAATGCACCAAAATTCAACCCATCAGTGTACTATGCCACAGTTAATGAGAATACAGCATCAGGTATGATATATATTATCCATGAGTGAAACCATATACAGTAGTCCCCCTCTTGAACGGCCCCCCCTCACCAGTGGCCACCCGCTCCTTACGGCCAGAATCTGAAGGCACCGACGAATTTGTGTTCAAAATTACCCCTCACGAAAGGCCACCCGGCTAACGTGACCAGTGGCCAGCATATTTTTGCAAAAACATAAAATTTACCCCTCACCAGCAGCCGCATTTTATTTGTAATATGTATCTAGAACAATTTTTTTTTCTAATTGTGTTAAGTAATCGGATTTCTGTTTCCCGATGTCAGGTTTTCGTTCTTCAAAAAAGTGTTCTACAAGTACCACTAAGGTTAATATTAAATTCTTTACACCTTACGAGAAGCCACCTTTATTTCATAAAGCCGAGAAAGACTCAAATTTTAATCCATACATAAAGGTAATCCATATATCCTTACGGCATGTTATCCTAGAGGTCTGGTGTATCCACGGATAATTGTTAAGATTACACTTATTAATAGTAGGAATATCGGAGAAGCGGCAATATGGATGGACAATACGAAAGTCTGCTCGGAAAATGGTTTGATAGCCTTTGTGGCTTCCCTTGGTAAGATTTTGAGCTGGTTAACTTACATAATTAGCGGCTATTATGCAACAATTGTAAAGTTTATAAATCTTAAGGGCCATGAGGTGCTATTGTTCAGATCAAATCTGCGTACGTATCCGCGTACATATCCAAGGCGTTTTTCACACTTAGAGTAAAAAAAATATATATATAAAAACATTAGGGTACCAGACTGCGACTATGAATCACGTATTAATCGCTGCCTTTAAAAATATATGGCATCTTGTTTAAATGCAGAAAAAAAATTGTTTCATCGTCTGGTAGTTGCAACATTGATGATTATAACTGGATGTAAGGTCAAGATCACACGGTCAGCATTGGCTAAAAATAGAAACAGTGTACTAGACAAAGACCAAAAAATCATGTGACAATACAACTTGTCGCTTCTTTACGAAGAAAGCATGTCGTCCGCTCAACAAATGTGTCGTCTGCATAATTAAATCGCATACAGTTAGCAACATCGGAATAATTCATTACCAAACATTAACATGTCATCACGTAAACAAAGATGATTTTTTTCAGAAAACGTCGGTTATTATATATAGTCTATGATATCGGGTGAGTTGGGGAGGGGGACTGGTCAAACAAATTTAGGTAGAAAAGACTCGAATAAAACAATTTTATGTTGAAAAGACTCGAATAAATAACATTGTAACCGATAAGTTATTTAGCAGCAGTGGGAAAATGGAGCAAATGGATAGATAATTGTGTATGTACCAAGATTCAAATGACATCTTTGTATGGTTCTGCTATGTGCATGACAACATCCGCTCGCATATCACGATTTTGCCAAGAATAAGAACTATTAATGCATACTCAGTTGAAATAAGTCAACTATTATAGCACAAGAACAGTTTAATATTTAATGTTGCTTTTAAACAAAGATATTTAATGCTTTGAAAAGTGAAGCTTTCTTACTACGTATATATACTTCTCAAAAAATTTAGTCCCCCTCTGGAAAGGCCACCCGCCTTATAAGGCCACTTTCCCGGTGCAGAAGGGGTGGCCGTATAAGAGGGGGACTACTGTATAGAAAAATAAATGGAAACAATGGTCAAAGGAATTTAAAGTCGTCCCAGGACATGCAGTTAACTCCTGCAATGAGTGAGTTTTTATGAGAAGCTTTGTGGACCATGAAACACAGAAAAATACTCAAGATAAAGAAGTCAAATAATAAATTATGATTAATGCAGTTAGAAATCCAATTTTGGGGGCATGTAATATTTGTATGGAATTATTAATTCATTATGTTCCATTACACATTTACTTTTTTCTCTAATTAATGTAATTGAATTTTTTAAAATAAAAAGAAATTTAAATGCATTTGACAAACTTGCTGCAAGCCATAGACTGAAAGACAATGGTGAGAAAGGTACTATCATATTTATTCTTAAATTTTAAAAATAATGATAATTAAATGATAGATCTGTATAATGTGCTACTTTGGTAAATTTGTGATGAATAATGTTGATTTTACTTGTCTGAACTTTATTAAAATTTATCAGAAGATGTACATATTTGTAAATAGTGCAATTTTTAATTAGATAAATCAAATGATGTCCCACCCAGTCACATTATCCTCACACCAGGCTGACCAGTCCTAACACTGACCTCTTAATTTTACTTTCTTCTCATCACATTTTAAACTATCTTAAAAATCAAGATAGTTTCCCCACAGCTTCTTTTCTTCTGTCATAAAAATTCTTACTTTATGTGTTCATGATGTGATTTGGCAGGTAATAGACAGCCTGGAAACTTTTGTAGAATCTTTTGACTGTTTAATGTTATCTGCTTGGTTCTGAATGAAATTACTGAGTTCAAACATGGCTGCCACAATTTTGATATTGAAAATCTGGTATCTAGTTCTCTTGAACAGATAGTCATATTAACATGGGATTTTCACTAGAAGTCTTCTAATGGTGTCCAATTTGCCCTAAATGAAAATGGTGTTTATCTTGTATCCTTAATGGCTGTCACAGTGGCCACCTAATTTGAAAATCTTATCATTCAGAAAATCAGAGATGGTTTTAATACCCAGCTGTTAAAAAGAATAGATGAATTTTGAATTCCTGGAAATTCCTTTTGTTCAGTGTCAGTCTATTCTAGGGACTCTTGTTATTACATTTGAATTGATTGATGGCTAGGTGACAACTGAGCTACAATTGCTAGATAGCTAGGTGCCAACTGAGTTACTATCTAGAGCTCCTGGTTATTTGATTAGGAATGGTTTGTATATACATGTATTTACAATGATCTTGAATTTCAGTGTACTTTAGGAGACATTGTGTAATGTGACCTGATAAAAGAGATTTACTAGCAAGAAAAATTTGGGACATTGTGATTCATATTTAATAACAAATGTTTAGCTTGATGACATCGTGATACAAAAATATAATTAGAAAAATCTGTGTTTAGGTTTGTAGCTCATTTGGTCATAAGTTCACTTGCACCAGTGTCCCTCATTTTAGCATGAAAGGATAAATCATAAACCCACTTACAATGCAGGGCAAATATCAGTGGTTTATCAATATCATTTGCAAGTGTGATCAAGGTTAGCAAGGAGTGGCCGAGTTGTCTAAAGTGCTCACCATCATTGCCTATCAATTCCATTCAGATGATTTCATGTTGTCAGAAATTGTGTTGTCTTTTATTGTTAAAACTGCAGACGATTCCGTTAAGATAGTTACATGTTGTCAGAAATTTAATCGTGCTTTATTGATAAAACTGCAGACTCCTGTGGTTAAACTCACACAGATGGAGGTGAGATGGCAGTGATTCATAACCCTGAGTGCTTTAGACAACTATGCCACTGTACATGAAGACAAAACCAGTGTGAAAGACATTTGTATATTGACAAATTTTAATTTTGGTTACCTTTGTGTAATAAAATCTAACAATAAAATATTGCATTGATCACATCTTGATTTGAAAATCATTACAATATTCAATGTTGGCATTATCACAGTTATTTACATGCTTCAAGTACATGTACTTGTATTTAAATTGCCCTAGATTTTGGTCAGTCTGTTCCCATCTTATTGAGGCTACGAAAGGGAGGGGGCTACTTACGGGGAAATGAAAACCTGTCAACAAGTTGATTTAAACAGTACTTGTAATGTATTTGGTTACAGAA